CTTGTCAAAGTTGGCTTTTCTGAAGTCAAGGACTTCTGTGTTGCTGACTGACTTGCCAGCTTTATGGCAGATGGTGAAGGTGATCAGTTCATGGTCGCTGTCACCCAGCTTCCCATGGATCACTAGGTTGCCAATTTAGGTCATCCCCAGTAACCAGTACCAGGTGGAGCAGTGCTTTGCCTCTCGTTGGCCCATAGACTTCTTGAGTCAGGTAGCGGTCATCCCCACACGAGAGGAAGCTTTGCGACCGCTTGGATTTTGCTGAGTGATCCTCCCATGAGATGTTTGGGTAATTGAAGTCACCCATGACAACCATGGTCCTGGAGCATGTGGCCTCAGCCAGCTCCCGGGTGAACTCCTGGTCAAGCTCTTGACTTTGGGTGGGAGGTCTATAGTAGACTCCCACCGTTGTGTCCCCTGTGCTGTGTTCACCACAGATTTTAACCCAGAGGGTCTCCAGTCATCCACCCTGGTCGCCAACATCAGCTTGCAGGGATGCGTAGCTTTCCTTAACATAGAGCTACACCCCTGCCCCTTTTATCTACACGATCCCTCCTGTACAGGGTATAGCCATCTATACCCATGGTCCAGTTGTGGGTGGAGTCCCACCAGGTCTCCGTTATCCCTATGATGTCATAATTATTTGCATTGAGCAGGAGGAGCTAGGCTGCAGCCCCACATCCCATCCTTAGTGCAGCAATTGTGCCATTGTCCCCGCTGCTTCCGAGCCCTGGCTCTGGCCAGGTTGCAGCCCCATGCCACGCACCCTGCTGTCAGCACAGAATTCAGGGGGGCACGTGCTCCTTGTGCTCTGGCCATGTCACCAGGGCTAGGGACAGACATTACACATAAATCAGTTTAAGTGCTCAGAAACTGGTTTAAACCTGTAACAGAACAGATGTTCAGTGCACATAAACCAGTTTGAAAATGGCTGAAACCAGAATGTAGTATCAGACTTAACTGATTTGGGTCCAACTGGTTTATGCACTGTCTATCCCAGACCCCTTGCTGATTTAAGATAAATCAGACACCCCCAGCATCCCAGCATGCTCTCTGGGCTGGCCAGGCTCTGTGCTCCCCTCTGTGTCTGCCTGGCTTTTTCTCTGCCAGGCAAGAATTATTCCCCTCTGCCTTATGCAGACACCTCCACATTAGCTAGCAGACCACATGTTGGCTACAGTCTGTGTTGTGGGAGATGATCAAGGCAGACAGGCTTTTTGGAGCTAATCAATACGTAGCTTAATGTCCGTCCTTGGAAACCACTGTTTGAGAGAAGCTGTTTGCTTCCCCCCACCATTCTCTGCTAAGCACAAATTCCCCCTCCCCTTTGCCTTGCTGAGGTGTCTGTATTAGCTAGCAGACCACATGCTGCCTCTGTGCTGAATCAACAGGTAGCTGGTAATGTCTGTTTTCTTAATGGGGCAATAAACACTGAGATAAAGGTGACAAACATTGTTATCAGTCCCCCCTCCCCACCACACCCTTGCTTGCCTGTCAGTTTCCTGCAGACAGTATGCAGAAGCAGGGAGGGAGAGTGAAAAGCTCTGTATCATCAACAGATGCATGCACTGCACACACACCCCTTGCCTCAGTGCTAGCCTGGGTCTGAGGGCTGACAACACTCCCACCCCTTGAGCAGCCAGTGGGGAAAAAGCCTGGGACCCTGCAGGCAGACCTCCCTAATGAGAAAGTCCTGCTGGGACCTGGCCACCCAGCTCAACTCTGCAAGAGAAGGGAGGGCTGCTTTAGCACCCCCTGGCTTTTAGCCTGAGCCACTCCAGGCATGTGCTTGAATTTCCTCAGTCCAGAAGGACTGTCTGCATGGTTGGAAACTGGTTCAGCCTAGCCAGATTAGTCTAATCTGCAAAGGTTGAATCAATTCAGGCTCAGGCTTTTTGAATGTCTGTCCCTAGCCCTGCAGATCAGAGGTTTCCCTTGTGTAAGTCCATTGATAACCAGAAATGGTATGACTACTGTATTTTAAAATGCAGCCAAAAGAAGTAACTGTATTATGTAGAGCTGCTCACCTCTGTTTCATAGAAGTTTCTGCATCTTAGCAGTATATTGGAGACACTGTACAAAAGCCTTTTATTTTCTTTTTTTTATTTGTCACTTACCACTTTACTAACTCTTCTGTCTTTTCTTCTCCCCCCTCCACATGAGTCTCCATGCCATAACTATTTTTTAGAGAGCTGGATCCTGTTCCCTGTTTTCCCCTTCTATCCCCAGGAGCTCGTGAAGAGGCAGTGACTTGAATTCAACAACCTGTTCTGCCCTCTACATGCTCTGTAGCTCTCCAAAGCCCTGACAGTCCAGCTCTAATTGAAGCTGGAATCCGTGTCCTCCCTTGCTTCCCTCAGCGATGTTAGCAATGCAGTCCAGAATGCCGTTTTAACTTTGTTGCTGAGATCTTCATGGAGAACTTCTCACAGGAAGCAAGCAGCAGTGTTGTATTTTGTAACTCCCTTTCCAGATGAAACTTAGAGGTGGTGAAATAAATCTATAGCTAGTGTAGCTGAGCTTCACTGCACAGTTCTGATTTCACTGTTTTATAGCAAGCCTATAACAAGATGGTCTCATTCCCTTCTTCAGGGTATTTGAATTATTTACCTATTTGGATGTGTTCCTTTATATTCTTGTGTCTGTCTGGTTTTATAACTGGCCTAGGCAATATGTCCTTGGAAGAAATACTTGCCAGAATACACGAAAAGTTGTATGGTAAAGAACATTTTGGTAGCAACAATGGTTGTCAAACTAAATCTACTTCAGCTGTAAGCATGTTGATTCATGGTTCTGGCAGTGACCAGTGGGAAGAGCTCTCTCTAGGTACAAATGCAGGAGTGAAGATGGTAGGTAATTCTCTTCCCAGCCCTAACTATCACTGTGGACAGGTGCAATAAGAAAAGGCACTTTCAGCACAAAGCCACGTCAGTAAGGGAGCCTATTTTACCCTGCTTAGAGGAGTACAATTCTACATATGCCTTTCTAGAGGATCTCTCTCAATATTTCAGCACAGTAGAGAGTTAAAGCTCAACTTGACAATTCCATACCCACTCAAGTTAAGGACTTGTGCTATTCAAGTCCAGACCCATTAAACTAGTTTGTTAAAGTCAAGGCATGCTGAAAACTGAAACAGGATGGTTTCTTTTTGAGGCTTGCGCCTTTGGGTGCCAAATGTGGTGTTCAGTTTTCTGTTCAGTAACTAGTTTTGGATAAGAAGTTGCATCCTATGTCAGATAGAGGCAAGAACTTTGTTGAAGAGGTGAGTAGGGGAAGACTAGGGGCTAAATCCAAACTGGAATTTTGACCCTGCAACATTGACTGTTGTAGTGTCTAACTCTGGACACCTGGTCCTCAGAGGAAAAGCCGGAGAAAACTGTGACATGATTCAGATCACTATTAAGAGCACAGGGAGAGTGGGGTGCCTTGTAACAGGATTCAGAAAAGCTATCACATTGAGAATGGAGCTCCTTAGTGTGAGTGACTAGAAAATAGTGCATCTTAGGAGGGCAATGATTTGGGTGGGGGCAGGGTGGTGGCCTTGATTTACCTCTGAATTATCTAGGCATCCACCTTTAGTAGATACTTTCTTCTGAAAGATCCACCAATGAGCAAATAATGGTGGCTACTCCTCATGGAGGTGACTAGTGATTAGAGCACTTGTTCTGGGGCCAGCTTCCTCTCCTACCTTGAAGAGATTTAAACCTGCATACTGCATTTCCCATTAGAATGCCCTAACAATAAGGACATTAAGCCAGTGGTGCTCAGCCTTTTGGCTCCGTGGGCCAAATGAGTGGCATAGGGCCTATCTGTAGACCAGATCAGGCTCTGGGGCCCAGCACCACCCGCTCCTTGCCCTGCATGCTGGGATTGGGGCCTAGCTCTGTGCATTGGGATCAGGCAGTGAATTTGGTGCATGGAGCCCATGGGTCCAGATACTTAGCAGCTGGGGAGTGGTGGCATCCTCCCCTGCCACCAAATTTCCATACCTGCAGGGAGCCCTGCTGACAGGTGATGTGGCACTGTGGGCTGGAGGCTGAGAATCCCTGACAAGCTATAAAGAGATGGGTTATGTTCCATCCTTTTCAATGAAGCTATAACAGTATGTAGCAGAGTGTGTAAGATGCAGTGAGCCAGAGATGGGGAATGTGACACTACAAATCTAGTCATCAGGACACTCACTTGGGACGAAGTCCTGGATGCCAGTCTCTGCTCAAAGGACTATTCATGGGTCTTAGACAACAATAGCCTGTCTCTTCCTGGCATGTTCTACGGAGATGTAGCTTTGCATCCCCCCCAGACAGAGGAAGCAATTGAACTGGTTCAATCTCAGTCATGTGAACACTGTGGCCACTTAGCTATTACGTTAAAAGAGGGTCAGTTTCCGCTTCAGGCATTCGTTTTCTAACTGCCCCCCCCCCAAAGCAAAACAAAAACTTTGACCTCCGTTGTATTTTTGCAGGGAATCCAGTCCTTTAGGCATTTTTTACAGAAGGTCTATTGAATTGGGTCCCTTGAGACCCTTTGGGGGAAAGGGGGAGCATTGGGGAATGCTTAGTTTCTAGATCCCAATGAAGCATGGGGAGGAGATGGATGCTTCCCTACACAGCACCCTCAGGACCGAGATACTTCCTTGTACACCAAGAAATAGAGGCTTGGGTGGCTGGAGACAGTTTCCAGCCTGGACAAAGCTGGCTCCAAACTTCAGGTGATTTCAGGATCAGGCAGGCAGAGTGGGGTGGTTGTGTGTGGGTTTTTGGATCTGCTTTTAAGTTTCTTAGTTGGTGCGGGCAGGAAGTTGCTATTGGACTCTCTCAGTGGCTCTTGCATACCCTTCCAGTAACACAGGTGGAAACCCAAGGGACAGTGTTGGAGAAGAGTTAACCTTTTGCAGCTACCTATGCAAGTCACTGGTTTGTAATAAACCAAGAGGTAGAAGTGTTTGCATAAATGCTTCTGAAAGCTATTACTAAAACTTTCCCTGATTTCAATGCTTGCTGCTTGGGAAGAAAAGGTGCGGTACTTTTTGTCCAGCATAACCAAACTGCTAGTGGAGTATCTTGTAATGTAATTTGTGATTTGGGAGGTATAATCTAATGCTATTTCATGATGAGCAATGCAGCTCTAAAGAAAGGAGATAATGACTTCACCTCAGCAAGTCACTGTGTCTGTCTTAAGCAAGATGACCCTGTTAAATTACAGTGACAATTTAAAAGATGGACCCTATAACCAGGGGGAGAAAATGGAACATTTAACTTCTGGGGTGGACAATGGAAAGCCTCCAAATGTTCTGATCCAATATGGTAGCAAACATAAATAGCAATAAACGGAGTTGGGCAACTATTTCCTTTGCACCACTCAGTGCATCTGGCCCAGAACTGGGGTGTTGTTGGCAAGGAGCATTGCTAGGGCTGCACCAGAGCCAGGAGGTGGGAAGAGCCAGTGGTGGCAGCAGTGGACAGGTCCTAGTGCTGGCCTGCCTTGGGGCTGAACTGGGGTCATTTTGGCCAGTTACCAGGAAAAAAAATATTGCCAGCCACTGCCACTAGTGTGTTTTATTAGGTAGTTCATGATCTGCAGAGTATCCTATGAATTGGCTGCCTTCCATAAGAGGAACATGAAACTTTGCCTTACAGATAGTGAGATGGAAAAAAAATGGAGATAATGCCCTCTTTCATCCACCACCTCCTCTGACTTTTTTTTCCATCCCCACCCTCAACCTTGAGAACTGGTATCTTGCAAGAGGCCCTTCCATATAGCATTCTCAGGAGGGGCCAGTTATCTTTTCCTTGAAGATAAAGGGGTTGCCTGAACAGGAACAAAATATGCATTAATACTTCAATTCACCCTCTTACTTGCTATTATTTATAGCATCCACAAAATTTATAGCATTTGTTTGTTTTGTTTTTTAAAAAAATCTTCAGAGACGTTACTTCCATCTCTTCCCCCTACCTTTTTTCCTGAAAAGGGAAAGAGTTCCCCCTCTCCCTCTTAAGGGACATGCAACATTAAAGACTGTGTGTTGGCTGGGGCCTTCCTGTGCACAAGGGTGGGAGCAAGATGTGTGGTCTGGGCAGGGTACAATTAATTGGTGGGTGCCTGCAGGCCAAATGAAATTGCCTGGCAGGCCAGATTTGGCTCACAGGCTGTATTTTGTCCACCCCTGTACTATAAGCTCTAGTGCTTGGGTCTGGATTGAGGGCTTGTTGCTTGGTGGGGAGTACTTTTGAGGAAGCTTGCACAGACTTGGTCTCCTTGTTTGGGTTTTAGAAGAACTTGCTGCCAAATTCACTTAAACTTGAAACCAAAATAAAATCTGAAACTTGGCCATTTCCTGGGAGGAGAGCTTGTCTTCAGTGGATGCAAGATGCTGGATATAGCACACTGTTTCCAGGTTCGTAGTGCATACTTTCCCTTCAGGACTGCAATTGGAAGAGAAAGGACACTGCTGTAAATTCAACCCCATCTCAGCATTTAATGAAACTGAATTGTATCAGTTCAAATTGCCCATCTCAGGAGGTGGAAACTTCCCTAATGCAGATGGTTTGCTTAGGTTGATAAAGGGGCCCTTTCATTAGATACTTTTATAAAGGGAAGAAGGCTAGAATAATCACAACTGCTAATGGGGAAAATCTGTAAACAGGCTCTCTGATTCAGCTTGGCTAGGATGCTGATCTAGCCTAGAAATCATGTGTTGCAGTAAACCAGTTTTCCCAGAAGGGTAATAATAATCAGCTGTAATATAGTTAGCCTTTACATAAGGAAAGGGCTTGTATGAGCATAAAAACATACAAATCTGTATAACTTGACCCTCTGTCCTATAAGCCTGCTTCTGAGAGGATAATTGAGGTAGGAAGTAAAAGTTACTAGCCATGGTCATCTGGCAGGTCATTTTTGAAGGCTAGTATTAGATTTCAGGAAGTCCTAGGTTCCTGGTGGTTTAACGAGGGGGCATAGTATGCATTAAAATGGGACAGTACTCAATGAATAGAGTAAGCTCAGACAAGTCTGCCCTGACTTTCTCTAGATGCTCTAACTTTGCCCCATGATATGGGTGACTTCTGGAGCTGGGCGTTATGTGCCATGTGGCCCAGCTCTTTTAACATCTCCTTAGGAGTTGGCAACCACCCTGTGAGGGGGCTTGCTAGCTTATAGCATTCTAGCTTAATAGAGGTGGCCCTACCATTGGGATAAAATAGAGGCAAGAGTGTGGAGTCAGTTAGGCGTGGGAGAGAGGTTCCAAGTAGGCCAGGAGCAAAGCAAAGCGGTCTTGCCCAGACCACTTGCTACTGTCTGCTCTAGGCTTATAAAGGCCTAAGAGGGAAGAGTCCTTCCTGTTGCCCTCGGAGAAGATCCAGCTTAGCCCTGGATCACTTTCAGATGGGGCCTGGAGTAGGATTCTGTGCAGCTGGGCTTAGGTTCATTCCCACCTGACCTCGAGAGAGCTGAAATGTTTGGAAGGGAGGGCAAAATTCTTGCTTATTTACTTTTCCTCCTGCCAGTCCCTGTTTTAAAAATGCAAATTATTGCAGGTAGGACTTTGGCACATGCATTGCTAACATTGCAGGCTCCCTGCCATTGGAATAGAAGGAAGCACTGGTAGTCATCATTGCAGCGGGAGAAGTGGTAATAAAGGTTTCTTGCAAGTAACCCCAGATGCTGCTGACACTGCAGTGTGATCCATGTAGTTGTAACCAGGAGAAACATCTCATAAGAGTCGGATTTTCCTAAGGAGGTCTAAAAAATCCATAAAGACAGGCTTGTCGAGCATGTGGCGTATGAGGCAGATCCAGCCTATGGAGCTTCTCTGTCTGGCCTGCCAGGCTACTGCAGCCCAGCAGTGGAGCTG